GAGAGGGGGGGGTAGACAGAGAAAAATAAAGTGAGAGAAAGAGACACAGACAGACAGACACAAAAACATGTAGACAGAGAAAGAGGAGAGAGGAGGAGGGCGAAAGGAGGGGAGTAAACCAGGCACAGGTAGAAAGAGACAGACATAATTATTTAGAGAGTGGATGAGAAGGAAAAAGAGACAGGGAGATAAATAGAGGTAATTGTTTCAAGCGTTGCAACAGAGAAAAATGAGAGCGAAAGAAAGAAAGAGAAAGAGAGAGAAAGAGAGAGATTGAGAGAGAGAGAGAGAGAGAGAGAGAGAGAGAGAGAGAGAGAGACGTGAGGTGAGGGAAAGAAAATGGAGAAAGAAGAGGGAGGTGGACATAGACAGGAAGCAAAATGATTTCGAAATTGTTGGTTTTGTCTATTCGTGCAACTTGTTCGAAAAGCGCAAGTAAAGGGTTCTATCAATATTATAGAGGTTAAAACTGATCAAGATAACCCCGTTGTAGGTTGTCGTGCCCCCCTAGAGCGCCATGTTATTCTAGTCAAACAACTCAAATTAAAAGTTCGTGCGGTACAAGAGACATAAAACTAACGTCATAAAATCAGCAGCTGGGTAAAAATAGTAAGCCCATTGTCATATTGTTTGATGGGTGTAAAAACATGCAAATCGATTTCAAATGGAAATGATTTGTACACGCATGGGTGGCGTTGATATGCCCTTTGTATCGGTTTTACTTATTAGTGTTGTAGTTATTAGTGTTTTGTTGTTGTTTTAGTTGTTTTTGTTGTTGTTGTTGTTTTTGATGTGGATGTTGTTGTTGTTGCTGTTGTTAAGATTGTGAAATTGAGAGAGCGAGGACAGCTTTTAGGATATTTTAGTTTGTTTAAAGCCAGTGCTGCTGTTTTTCGAGGCTAGACAACGTACTCGAAACACACTGGTCATTTCAGGATAATGGACTGCTGGCGTGCAACACGTTCAGACGCCTCCCAGATCCAAACATGGAACACTATCGTGCTGGCCAGGATTTATCCAATGGAATTACTGACACTGGCATAGTGAAACAGATGTTCTTTTCATGTTGAACCCCCCCC